AAGGTTGCGAAAAAAAGCCTTTTTAAAGGATTTCAAACAGAAAAAGTTAAAAATAACCCTGCGAGCCTAAAGAAAAAGGGAGTTAATATAAAAATTGAGAAAAGCACACCTATTAAGCAGAACAAGGTTATCAAAAAAGAACCTTCAGACGTTATTCCCAAAAAAATCCTACGCCTTGATCAACCATGCTTAAGTTCAGCCCAACCGGGAACTTCCCAAGACAGGAGTTCTCAAGAAGACGTCACCGTCTGCGGTGGATGCGGAGAATCTTTTGTTGAAGACTGGATCCAGTGTGGAATCTGAAATGTGTGGTGGCATGAGACTTGCTCTGCTTATGAAGGCAGCGGACCATTTGTGTGTGATCACTGCTAGTGCGTACTCTTAGCCCATCATCCGCGTACTCTTACCCTCCCGGGAGCCCAAGAGTACGCAAATGGCATTTTTTTCTAAATAATTTTTTATTAACTTATATTTTTATATAAATGTACAAAACTTTGTACTTTTGATAGGTAATAACTAAAGCATATTGTGTGAAAATTTGAGTTTCATATACCTTATACTTGGTCATTTACAGCAAAAAATGCACTAAGTGCGTACACTTAACCTCCCTTACCCCTATATAGCTTAAAAATAATAAGAATAGTACACACTATACGTACTAAAGGCTATGTATTTCCTGAAGCAGCAAGATCACGGATGTTATATTACAGACCACTTGAATTATTAGTTAAAGTAATGTTCAAGAAAAAAGTAAATTAAAAACAAAACCAAAAATTGGCTTTAGACATTATTTTAAAAAAGTTATTAAAAAGTTTATATTAATTTTGAGATCTTAAAGCAAATAAGTTTATTAAGCAACTAAGTTTTTTTCAAACACTTTTATTAATACTAGTTATATATCACGAATTTAAAAACAGCTAACTATTTTGTTTCATTTTCCACTAACCATGGATTAGCTAAATTTAAAATAATTTCATGGAGGAATGAAACTTATTTTTGGTAGATTCATAAGCAATGTTTTCTCTTTAACACTATCCCAATATTTAATTGATAACATAAGCGTTCAGGTGCAATATTGTCTTCTTTACTATTTTAGACGTATATTGGCCATAGAGGTTATATTGATCATGAAATACGTAAGAAAAACTACTTTGAGTAAATACAAAATTTGAGTAACTTTTAAACATTATTAGGTAGAAGTGAAAGCGTATACATCACAAAATTAATTTTCTGTTCTAATCAGGACGTTAATTTCATCAGTTTTCCGTCATAGTTTTCTATATTAATACACGCTAATTATTGGGTCTACCTTTATTTTATGTTAAATTTAAAATGCGTGGATCAAAAATTTCTAAGAATCTTACAAAAAACTTACTTTGTTTAAGTTAAGATAGACTTAGTGAATAGGATATTAACTGTATGGAATACATCAAAAATGCAAGTACCTGATACCATCACATAGTAAAACAATATGAAGAAACATATTTTCGAGCATCTAATGTCCTGTCTAGGTTCTACTAGGTATATGAGATCCCATGATATTTTATAATGAATAATAAATAAAAAACCATAAGAAAAATATACAGTGATGAACGTTTTAAATTCTCTAACAGAAACACCTCTTTGGGTGTTGTTTTGTCCAAACCCAGATAAATATAGTAGATAGAAATACATAAATTATATTAACTATGATGAAGAAACAAAATACGAATACATCTTGCAGTAGGCTATCTTAAAGTTAAAATGCACTAATACACATTCAAGAGGATCCCGTAAAAATAACCACTTCAGTTTGAAGCCTTGTCTAGTGTTCAGATAGACGAGGAGGAAAGAATGTCAAAGAAATATCTCAAATGGTTGTCAAACGGTTTCTGTCAATCGTTGTTGACCAGTCAACCGGCGCCAAACCTTTCAAATAATACTGTCAACCAACAATTTCTTTTACCTAGATACACTTTGTTCTGACATCGTTTACTATTCCTATCTTAGATGACAGATATTTCAAATTCATTTATTTTACACGGATATGGGTACGAATTTAATAGAATGTTTGAATGACCATCTAATCTTTGAATTTTTCATCTAGGTGTTGGAAAAAGGTTGTTAAATATATTTTATGGTAAATGTGTACTCGTATTGTTATTGACTGTGTCATTCTCGAACAGCATGCTCAATTTTATATATGTATTGTTGCTTTTCAGTAGTTCTTTCATCGGGAAGGTCACCTTTATCTGCACAGGTAAAAAAAAGGAAATGATAGCCTAGGTGTAATTGTTTGCACGGTAGTTGTTTACTGTAAATTTAGGTCACGTAGATATACACGATTGATAACAAGAATATTTTCTTACTGAAGCTACAAAGCTGCATTTTTTGTTGTACTATACTTTACTCTTTATTTTTTTGTACTTCCAGTCTTTAACATACTAAATACCATATATATAATTTGGAAAGATCATATTAAAATAGTCGACGATGTTTGGAATGCTTGTAGATTATAGTATTTTTTATTTTAAATACTAGCATAGGTGTTTATAAATGCTATCATTAGGTGTTTATAGCATAGATATATTTACAAGAGGTGTATAATCTCAAAAACTTCTAATTACTGTGATCTGGCTAATTAGTTATGCTCTCATTCCATTGACGTATATATTTTATACACGTACGTGCCAAGAACCGTATATTAATATAGGAACCGTGCAGCACAAATCAGCATATGCTATGTTTAAATAATATAAACGCTGTTGTATATTTAAGTGCGTGGTTCATATACATGAACCGTGCAGCACAAATCGTCATATGCTTAATATATGACCGTGAAGCACAAATCATCATATGCTCAATTTAGGAACCGTTCAGCACAAATCAGCATATGCTCAATATATGAACCGTGCAGCAGAAATCAGCATATGCACAATATATGAACCGTGCAGCACAAATCAGCATAGTCTCAATATATGCACCGTGCAGCACAAATCAGCATAAGCTCAATATATGACCCATGTAGCACAAATCATTATATTATTAATAAATGCACAGTGCAGCACAAATCATCATATGCTCAATAAATGCACCAAGCAGCACAAATCATCAAGTGCTCAATAAATGCACAGTGCAGCACAAATCATCATATGCTCAATATATGAACAGTGCAGCTTAAATCATCATATGCTCAATAAATGCACTAAGCAGCACAAATCATCATATGCTCAATAAATGCACAGTGCAGTACAAATCATCATATGCTCAATATATGACCGTGCAGCAAAAATTATCATATGCTCAATATATGCACCGTGCAGCAGAAATCATCATATGCCCAAAATATGAACCGTGCAGCACAAATCAGCATATGCTCATTATATGCCTCATGCAGTAAAAATCAGCATATGCTCAATATATGCACCGTGCAGCACAAATCAGCGTGCTGACGAGACCCTGGCGGAGTGTATTGATCACAAATCTGGTGAATAAATAGCATTGGAGTCTGAGAGACGCTGGCAGAAGTAAACACGTCACACAATAGCTGGACCAATAGTGGTGAAATAGCTCGGAGAAAACCTCTATTTCTTGTGTACATACTTTTGACAAAAATAAACTGATGATTTTCGTTGTTTTCGTAGATTTTTTTCATGAGCAAGTTTCCTTAGAAAAAAGGAAAATTTAACAACTAAGATTAAAACTCTAAAACTATTTAAAAACATGAAATCTAAGTGTGGGGTTCCGTTGTCACGTTACACATTGTAAACCTTAAAATGTTTAAACCATGTTGGCTAGAGATCAAAATTTACTGAGGAGTTTATAAATTTGTTTTTCGTTATGTAATCAAAACCATGTAGAAAATTCGTTATTTAATATTCCATTAATTTTCGTGGATTTACAATGAGCTTAGCGTTTTGGTTTCATATTCTAAGCTTATAATTGATTTCTGCAGAATGAAATATAGGGTGCTGGATATTTAATGGTACCATCTAAGTAAATAAACTAATTGTTATAGATAATTGGTTTTGTATTTTGTTCGTACGATGCATTTTATAATTTAAAAATTTTACGAGAAACTCTTCTTTTTAGTTGTGGTGAAAGTAAACCAATTACTCTTGTAATGAAACAAATATATGTTCCTAGGTTAAGTTATATTTCCATTAATTTAAACCTGTGTGTAAACTAATTAAATAGTTCAACTATATTCAAAAAAATATGCATTCTTTCTACATTAGAGGGGATAGATGTGGATTATAATCTTTTGGATGTTTCCTAGATAAACTAATTTTAGACAAACATTCTTACACTTTTTTTGATATGTATTCTGAAGTTTGATACGTATTTTGAAGTTTGATACGTTTTTTGATTATATAAATAGTTAACCAACTATTTTAATTTGAATAACTTCTAATTTTGAGGCAATGTTTCTGTCACTAAAAATTAATTAGTTCTTATTTACTAAACTACTAAGATAAAATAGATTTTCCTATAGATCCATTTTATAAACAGTTAGTAAAACAGGTTGTACAAGCATGGAAGCAACGGTTTGCAGTTATTTCCTTGAACCAATGTATTAGTTTAATAAATACCCTTAGTGAAATTTAGTTTTTAATAATTTGATTTGACAGCAGAAACGTAATTGGCTGTGTTATTCAAACAGTAATTGTACAGACTTTCATTTTCCATGGTTTCTATCTAGTTTCAAGGAAACTAAGTTACAATAGAGAGGTGTTTTAAAGTACTTCAGTTTAGTATGGTATTTTACTAATTATATTCATTTATCATAAAGATTAGTCCTAAATCCGAATATTCCACTTAAAGCATCTATATTGTTCTTTCCAATAACCGTGATAAATACATACAATATTTTGTATTTTAAGAAACTCAATTACCACGAATAAATTTAACGAAAAAAGACCAGACAAGTTTTGAAACACCAACTATTTAAATTTAGCCATGTAGATTTTATTATTTTATCTATAAACACACATTTCAATAAAAAAATAACCAAACCATACCTGGCATGCAGATGAGTAAGACCGCGGCATATCCACACCAGCGTCCAACTATAACCGGGGTAATCCTCATTGTTACTTACACATCACAACACTAACACAAAAGTAAAACACACTCGCACACCGGCATTCAAGTCTTAGATATCTTCATGGTAACGTCCACGCACTGTAAAATCCACAGATTTCCGCAGTAAGTTTTCTTGATAACGAAATGGTCCAATGAAGACTAAGGGGTGAGTAGATACAGATGCTATGTCGCTATAGACACTAGATAATCGTTTCTAGATTCTACCGGCGCTATCTAGACAGCTGTATGTTGTCGCGAGGAGCGCTATGCCGCGTATGGCCTAGGTGTGGTGGCCGGGTCGGCGCAGACGCACGACATCTTTGGGGGAGTCTGCGTCCCTCTCAGCTGATTCCTGCATTCCGTCCTGGCCTGTCTGGCTGAGGTCTGGACCTGGAGGTTAGCTCTGTACGATTCCGGATAAATACATTTAAGAGTTATAAGTTGAACGGCTGTTATATATATATATTTATGTTCCATCATCATCTAGGACGCCAAGTTCTAGTTAGGAACTGTTTTAAATATTACTTCGGACTGGGTCTTATAGCACGACTGTCCAGGTGTTGAAACTATTGTGTTTACTGTGCTGTAGTAATGCTTACAGTTTAACGTTAAACAACAACTGTAGACTTTATACGCAATCTAAACTAATAAAGAATACCTTAATATAAGTTCACAAAATAATCATAGGCTATGGTTTGGTTTAAATTGGGGTTGGATTGTTCTGGTTAAACACCTTACGACATTCAGTTGAGTATTGCAGTTAGATCATAAATTACAACGTTAAAATAATTTTATGAAGACATTGATGCAAATGTCTCTACAGTTTATGTATTGTACAATATACATAACGTAATTTCACAACGTTTATTATTTATTCATAACAATCTATTTCTTATGTTACTTTCTATAATTTTAAATCTCCCATCCCTTAAGTTACTGTACACCTTTAGTTGTAATTGAAACAGGAGAAAAGGAAGTAGCATTTTAATAAATATGTAAAACGGAGTTTAGATAAACATCAGATTCAATTTCCATGTAATCCGTTGTAAGTTATAGAACGCTCAAGCTCCTAGTTGTAGGAAACAAAATGTAAAGTTGTATCCCGCAACGAGATTATTTACCTTTTTATATTTATTTGAATTTCGTTTAAGTTTAAATGTGCGGGGACACTAATTTACTAATAAGGCACATTTTATATACAAATGTTCAACGTTTTCTAACTAAACATGTTGTGCATGGCAAAGAGGTTTATAAAAATTATGACATAAAAAATATTCAAGTTTAAATTTTGAGTTTTTTTTCTATTTGCTTCGACGTGTTTGTTCTGTTAAATTGAACATGTATGTATGTATGTATGTATGTATATATGTATATAACCTATGGACGCCGAAACCACTCCACAGATTGTGATGAAACTTCCATGGATTATTAAGCATTATTCAAGGATGGTTTGTCTTAAGTTTGGTGCAGGTCTTTCAAAAGGGCTCCGCCCCAGATAGTTTTAAGGGGTCCAATGTCAGACTTTTTCAACTACAATGTTTTTTTACTGCATACTGTTTCCACAGAATGCAGCACAGAAAACGATTTTGATTTTATATAAGTTCAAATATATTCAGGCATAATCGCAGCACACCTTTACACTCAATAACGTTTATTCCCCACTATTAAATTGGTAAACATGAAAAGTAAACACCTTTATCTAAGTATTATAAACATTAAAAGGGACGGAAATGCCTTAATATTTTTATCTTTTGTTCCAAACCACACAATCTAACATAATTTTTTTAGTGAATAATAACCGTGCAATAATAATCTCGGGTATTCAAATGCCTCCCAATTTGTCATTAACCCACCACATTACTGTCATTATAAGAAGGAACTCTAATAATACTATTGCGAAACTTACATCCACCCAAGGTTTGCAACAGAACCAGATTGACGATTAAAAATGCACCAAACTTGATCGAAGCAACAATCATCAGTGGTAAGTTTCAAGGAGATAGTTATAATCCTGAGAATACGATGATTTCATCCGAATTACCCTTTGAATTCAAGCGACTATAATTTTCCTTTGCGTCTTGCTTTCGCAATCACCATCACAAGGCACAAGGGCAATCCCTGACTATCACTGGTTTAAATTTATAAAATACATGATTTTCACACGGACAGCTGTATGTTGCGTGCTCACGTTGTGGTAGATACGCCCAAAAAATGTATATATTTATACACCTTAAAACATGAAAAAAACAAAAAAACATTGTTTATTCACTGGAAATTAAGTAAAATAAATATTCAACTTTTGTTTTTGGTCAAGATATTTTATAATATCAAACCTTTTGCTTTTTAAATTCGGAATCAGTTTTTTAGTTAGTTTTTTAACACTTTTTTGATATAAATGATGATCCAATATTTTTACAATTAATTTTAAGTAGTGTGGGATTTAAACCTGGTTTCCTGGCTTCCATCTTTAGTTTAAAATCCACATTAAAAATGTTGTTGACATTTCCCATGCAAAATGCAAGATTTTCAACTCGTTGCAACATAAAGTTGGAGCAGGAATGTAACCTAGTTTACAACCCAATATAAAGGCCTAGCTTATAAACGTTTAGCTGTTAACACTTCTATGGATTACACTCGATTGTGGTGGTAAATGTCTATATATAACTAACAGGAAGGAATACTTACAATATCTCAGTAGTTGAACATTTTTTAGGGGAAAACATGATAGATAACATCCCAAGGTATTACACAGACATGTTGGGTAAGTCTGTTAAAGAGCTGATGAATTTAGTCAAAGATGAAGTTGTTCAGTCAAAAATCAAAAATTTAAAGTTTTACTTAGGTATTTTAACTTTCTATATAAATTAACTGACAATGAAGTAGATAGATAAGTAAAATACAAGAGAAAACTAAAATAAATAAAAAAATGTTTACAGTGGGATTAAGTTGTTATGAAAAAGGCCAATTGTAGGAAATATGTCTGTACGATTACCTCAACGTTAAGTGGGTAAGTAATGTATCAACCAGTGCCAATGGTGTTAATGCCGGTAATCAACAACGCTGTTAATGCCACAACACTGTTAATGCCACAGAAAGCTCATTAATCACAACATTGCATACAATGATATGGCTTTACTGGGTAGAAAAGTGTTGTATGAATGCATTGTTATATTTTTGAAAATGAATGTCGTAGACAATGTGATTGTTTTTTAAATACATGTCAATGAAAAAATTCCATACTCCTATCTGATAAGCTGCAAGTTGGTAGGTGTCAGACATGTAAGTACATGCAAAAAAGTCAATGATGGTATTTTTACTGTCTTCGTTGTATTTCGTAAATAGAAAAAAACAAAAAAACAATGCATCGTCAAGACTTTTCTTAGAGCGAAGAAGGCAATGATTTACCTTGTTTAGGCTCCTTGGTAGTAATGAAAACCATAAATCGAGGTTTATTAATTTTAATATGTTTATAATTATCGAATAAAAAGTCAAACTTAAGCCAAGGTAAACTACAAAATTCCACTTAATAAAGTTTGGAATATATTTTAAATCCGTATGATATTGTCTTTAGTTCCGCCAGACAAAACATATTTGAATATTAGGCCTATAAATTATTGTCTCCTATGGAAATATTGTGGAATTATAAAAAGATATGGTGCTTCGTAACTCTTAGAAACATATTATGTAACGCAAAATGTAAAATAACCTTTCCTATTTGACCAAAAAGGAAGAGGTGATAGTACACAGTATAGTAGACAATGATAACACGTTGAGGGCATTGTACGTTTGCACTATTGCATTCTCCTTTGAACCTCAGACATATAGAGTGTCAATAGTTCTACCGTACACTAAGGTGGATATTGAATTCCTTTCTACGTCAGAAGTCATCATTTTAAGCACAGTACATCAACAGAAATAACAGCATCATTTACGTTAACAAATTGCATTGCATTTTAATTAAAATGTTATGTATTGTTTTATATTGAATTTTATATATAAGTGAGATGTTATATTACTGTACTTTAAAACAAATGAGGTTTTTGCAAGGTATATTATTTATTCCTTATTTTGATGCAGTGATTTAGATCGTAAAATCACAATGAGGTATCTCGAGTTAAGAGAACCTTATTTGAAACAAATAATATTGTTATACGTATACACGAAATTTACTGAATTAGATTTTTTTGTTATTACAGAACAGTCCGTACAATTATTAACTCTACTTAAAAGTCAAAATAGTTTATACAAATAAATTCACATTTAAAACACGTTATATTTACAAAAGAGTGGTTTTAATTCCAAACCTGTGTTCGTGTATAAACGAAACTCAGTAAAACATTTATTTTTCTGACAGTTTCAATTAACTGACCTGTAAACAGTTTTAATCCAATTATTTTCAAAGCCACAAATTTATACTTTTGATATTTTAAATAACGACCTGAGTAAAAAACCGCGCCTTTTTACTGCAACAGTTTGTTATCATCAAAACATTTTAAGTTCATTGTACCTTAGATGCTAGTAATATTTAGGCTTTGTTATTTTGATTTTTAAAAAGTGACGTAGAGAGGTTTCGTATTCTGTACCTTAAAAAAATCCATAGAACATATATTGACATATCCTAACGTAACGTAAGCAGATAGGGCTAATGCTTTCAGTTTTTCTATTCCAAGGGTAAGATAAACAGAAAGATAATTATATAAGTCTTGTGTGATAATTAAAACAATTCCAACAGTAAAAAATGCATTTAATGAAACAACCTTCATCATATGGATACAGAAGTAAATAAACTGTTTATATTCTAGGAAAGAATGATAGACTCGGAAGTCTGTAATGAAACTGTTTCCCACAACGTTTTAGTATCAGTGTCACGAACTACTACAACCATTATTACTGTAAACTATACTCGCTTTTCTGTTTTTTATCATACCATCCAATCAAAGCTATGGCCTGAAATCGTTTACTCCAATTAATTAAAGTTAGGCCTGGAAGGTATAATCTCACAGATAAAATATACTGGTAATTGGTGGGATCTAATTCCGAGTCCTCAAAACCAATACCCCACGCTCTACCCAGGCTTTACCCGTAGACCAGTTGCCCCACTTCCTTTCTGTAAGACTGTAAGAAAAACTAGAATGGATTATTTATCCTCGGTTATATATATCACTCGGTTGTTAGTCTTACAAACCTAATTTCCGAACAACACAAACTTGTGTAACTGTAACAACATAGTTAACAACCCTCAACAAACCTGCAGACTAAGC